TATCTGCTCATTTCAGACCTTCCCTTTTCTTGTCTCCTCCCTTCATGTGAAACAGTCAATTTAGCTCCATTAAAAATCTGCAAGAAAAAAAATAAATATCACACTAGTCTAAATATATCATGAATAGAAAATTAACCACTTGTTTACAGAGTACAGGATTTGTTACAGTCACATTATTTGTTAAAATAACCACATTTTTAAATAATCACTGTTTGGGTCAAAGAGGAAAACTGTATACTGAAAACAACAGTGTTGTATTCTTATAACCTAATCATACAACAACCACTTGTTAGATTTGAAGACAAATAGTGTAAGAAAAACTGTGGAAACTGTAGTCAAGGGCTGCTGCATGATATAACATTCAAAGTTGGTCAGACTAGAAACAAAAGAAAAGTCAGATCAGGGACAAGTGTGTCCAAGCAACTAAAGACATCTACAATCATTAGCTAATGGACTGATAAGTAAATCTCCCTGGATGATTGGAAGTGGAACTAAATTGTGCAAACACTCAAATGAAACATTAGGACTTCAGTGACAAAGTCTGTACGGCAATTCATTTATTGACTTTTTCTCTCATTTGGTTATCTTCATTCCTTTAAAACTACACCGGCCTATAAATAAAGTTTATAAAAGAAATAAAGTATTTTGCATATATACTGCAGAATTCAAGGATTTAGATTGTCAGAGTTAACAAAATATTACTGCTGTTGAATCACAGCTGGTTAAGTTTCAGGAAACTCAACGTAATCAAATTAATTTACAAGTTGCTGCTATTTTTTTTTTACGTCCTCTATGCTTTCTTAAGATGAACAAAATGAAATGTAGAATTTTTTTTTGTAATAAATGTTTTATACCTTAATAAAATGGACGATTTTTTTAAGCTGCCTTACAAAATTGTTTGTTCAGTTTTGTAAGGCAGCTCCAATTTCTGCTCATACCATAGCTAATTGAAAACTTGCATGGCAATAATTATTAGATTTTGTAATTAGCAGGGCAATTACAAATATAAAATCCTAGTACTTGGATTTTGGCTTAGTTGTCATGTTTGTTTTACACCGAAATGCTTATTTTTCTGGAGGGAACAATAAATATGTAGAATTGTTCAAACTATTTCTCTTAGAATTTCCCTTTGCTTTTTATGCTAGTTTGTAAAAATGAAGAATCAAGCGTGAAAAAAACAAAAATGTCAAAGAATTTGATTTTAACAACCCTACTGCTCATTGAAGTAATGCTTAGTTTCTCCTGAAAAGGATTTAGTTAAAGTAACTTTCTAAGGCATGCCTGCAAATCTTCAAAATGTGATACAGTAAGCAATTTTTCTAAGCTGTGACACTTTCCTGGAGGGGGGTAATTTGCTTAACTATTGCTAACAACTTAATGTTCTCATTTTATAGGTGATACACTTGGCCCTCTCTTTCAGTATTTAACAACATCTCTCTCTCAGATATACCTACTGGTTGATCTTTGACTGTGACTAACCTTATCTGCTTTCTTTCATCTCATGGATTTAAAATTGCCTCACAGCTGATCCTCTTAGCTGTGTTTCTCTTCTAGATGAAGCCACTAAAGGAGGAACTACTTCAATTAAGTTTTTTATTTAACACAGGAAGTACTTGTGTGTTTGTGTTTTTCTTTGTGTGTGTGTGTGTGTGTGTGTGTGTGTGTGTGTGTGTGTGTGTGTGTGTGTGTTACTCTGCCATCTCAAATCCCCAGTCGATATTGTGGCAGATGGGTGCTCACACTCAGCCAGATTATGCTGGAGGGTTTTCCTTTCCGCTGTTGCTACATGCCGGTCCTCGAGTAGTGAATGTTGCAAGTCAGTGTATTGATGCAATCTGCACGGTTGCTTAGGCAGAAAATCTTAAGACCTATTTGTAAAATAAACTGAACTTTACAGCATTGTTTGATCAATTTGGAATGTATTTACTTGATTTTTGGTCCTTTGGACCGAATACACTGCCTATGTCAGAATACTCACCCTTAGTCACAAGATCCTCCATCAGAATATTAAAAAACACACAGATAAAAACACTCAATAAAAACTGTCAAATCAAATAGACTTAATTGGACTAATTTTAGTTGCCCTTTTATGACCTCGGATCTGAATGCTATTGACTACGTAGGGCAGATCTCAAAACTGAAGTCTGCAGATACTTCAATACCTCTATTTTTATTTCAGTATTGGACTATAGTGAAATGGTGTTGCAGGAACGTCAAGTGGAGTACATAAACCTGGCTATAAACTCCTTGAGCTGCACCATGATTATGATTTGCTCATAAGCACACAATAACTAAGTGAAACTACAAGAGAACATTTGCCTCCCATGTTAAAATTTTAATATTTCTGGCAATCTTTACCAAGCAGATACTATTAAATTTCCTTTCAGGTTAAATAAGCTATAACATTTTTATCACCTTGTCAATAAATTGCGGTCTCTGACCCGTCAAGCACAGCAAACAGAAATTTTGGAAAATGAATTCAACAAGTCAGTGTTCATAGAAAGAAAACATAGCTAAACGCCATTTCCACCAGGGCCCAATAAGAGAACTTTTTGTTCCTGGAATCTGTCCAACTTTCTCTTAATTGTGGCAACTTGGCATAATCCTGCCCCAGGCTCCCAACATGACCACGTCCCTTCTGCTTGCTCATGCTCTCACAGCAGAATGAGTTCCTTGAAGCAAGTGATATCCAACATTCTTCACAAGCCTTAAAATGTAAAGGTCACATGTACAATCGTTTGGACGTAAAGTCCCACAGTGAATAGTAGAAGTTATCACTCTGCAAACCATCAAGTGTAACTAAAGAGTCATTATATTTTCTTTTATACTGATTTCTGCTGTATGCAGATTTTATGCAGATGCTGCTTCTTTGTGGGTAACTTTTAGAAAAAAAAACTGCATGCTTATGAAAATATTGCAGTGCAATAAAGCAATTTGTTTTGGTTTGTGGTGACCACAAGAAACCCGTCTGGAGCGATAAACTTTTCAAACTATTTACAGCTGTCACATTTTTAGCCTTATAAATCTGTAGTTTCAAAGATAATAATCTAAATAAATGGGCTTAAAAGGTATGTTTTTCTTTTTTTCTGAGTGATTGTTGACACGTAACAATTAACACTTCTCTAACAGAACAGTGGTTTCATTAAGTCATATATGAGAACACAGGAAGCTTCGGTTTCTAAACTCTCGATTACCTCCTTTAGCTGCACTGACTTTTTTTTTCTGTTTTTTAACATCAAACTATTTGTGTTGCAATGAGTTTGCATATGGGGTCAATTTAATTATAAATACCACCTACAGAAAATTTTAACATTTTATAAATTCAAGAAAAATATTAAACTTACTTTGTGTTAACCTTTATGTCCTATGTATTTAATAATTAAAAAAATGCAATCCAATTAACATAACCATAAAAAAAATAAGAGACTGCATTTTTACAGTTTTGTCACGGTCTTCTTATTCATCTGCCCCCTTTGACCTATTTCCATTTGTAGATTTGTAAAGCCAGTGTGTCGAGGCTCTTTTCCTTTGCACAATAACTGGAGGTCGTCCTGCTCTCATTTACTTCTGAAAACTAATGAAGTCCAACATTGTCCCAATTAAATAATTTCAGAGAATATTTTGTAATATCATTTAAATATGGTATGTCTCTCTTACACAATACCAATTTCATCTTGTTTTTACAGTAATTGGGACACCCGAAGATCATTAGAGCTTTTTGATGATTTATCTTTGGTGTTGAGCTCTGGTTGAGCCAGTCTGAAATATTGATATTATTTTCTGACAGGAAAAGGATTTTTTTTTAACCTAAATCTGTCAGGTGGGTGAATAACTCTGGGCTTAATTGTACCTCTATGAAATGACAATAAATTACTTATAATGCTTACTAGGCGTTTTGTAGAACAAGTACAACAAGGTTTTAAAGTTCGGGCCAACATATAGAAAAGTTGTTCAGCTAAGATTTATCTTTAATGCTATCTAAAGCAACACAAGATACAATAATGCCAAAAATGTTAAGTGTCTCCAAGTCAGTTGAATGAATTAGAGTAAAACAGGACCATGATAGAAAAAATTGAACTAAGCATCTTGTAAAAACTAAAATGATCCTTGAAGTTGCACACTTAATAGATATTTTAATTTATATTTTGCTAACTGATTGAACATGGTGTTATGTGTAGAACTAGGAAGATTTCAGTACAGAACTTACATCAGATATAATAAATCTAAAAAATTTTAATCCTAACAACCTAAAATTTTGTAATGCATATGGTTTATAAAATACTACACAAAGTATGCTGGGATATAATTTAAGATGAATATGGATGGAGAGTTCTGGCTGACGAATTGGTGTAAAAATGGAAAGTTACACTACTGCCAACTTCAAATTGATTTCTTTGTTTGCTTATTTCTATAAACCATGACTCTTTGTCTGACGGTATGGATATGAATCCAGGATGAATTGTTCAATAAAAAGCACAACTTTCACAGTGGATTTAACGGTAGGATTTCCATCGCAAGAACTGCCTTCATGTGAGAATGGGAACGATATAAAATATGAGTTATAGGCACATATAACATAAAGCATATGGTTGCAATCACACCATGAGAAATCCAAAAAATATGAGGCTTGATATTTGAGACCACTGCATTATTCTCAATGACAAATAATATTGTGCGTGTCAGAACCTAAACAACAGTGATGAATTTAAGATGCATTGCCAACTTTGGAAGACTTGGCAAAGTGCTCTGTTTGAATAAATATCCTTTTTCTTGGAGTAGTTTCAGCACCAACATTAAGGCAGTGTTAAGGTTTTTTGAAAGACTTGTGGACAAAATTCTCACAGACCACGAGCAACCAAAGATGTCTTTCTAATTCTTACACTTAACACTAACAAGGTAAAGCTATTAAACAAAGAAGTGTATATAAAAAAAAAAAAGCTTAGTTGCTTTGGAGCAAACTATTAAGGTTTTTGATAGATATTGTATTTGTGTGTACTCACCGTAGCAGTGATGAGTGGACCATGGCTCTGTGCATAGAGCAATGCTTCATTGACATGCCCTCTGACGCCCAGCATGGCTAGCTCCAGGCTGTGGTGCCCAGCCATCGCAAGAGTTAGTTTCTTCAAGGAGCTGATATATGTCCTCCACGGCTGATCCAGCTCTGCCATACTTGCCAAGCAGCCCCGCATAACATTCAAGCAGTAGCCGACACAGGGCTTGATCAGTGTCAAGCCTCTGCAGTGGGAGCAGTACACCATCTTTGCCAGACCTTTTACACAATCCCTACTAAGGTCGGCATGTTCTGTTGCGTTGATGACCTCCAGTCCTTTATCCAAGCCGAGACTCAGTTGCCTGCCAGTCTCCAACACCTCAGCCAGTTCCTGAGCCATGGTGACAGGATGATTCCCGAAAGGCTTCACATCCTGTCTGATCATACGCAGACAGTCGCCCATTGTGCTGCCTGCTGTCACGCTCCCTTCGATGCCTGGATTTATAAGTCGTGCATACACAAGAGGGAAGATGTTGTTAAAAAACTTGTGGATGGTCATCTCGACGGAAATGTTGGCTCCACGTAGGTACAGGGAGAGAGAAGAAAACAGCTGATTCACATGGGGCAAGGCCTGACGGGACAGGGATGAGTAGGTTCCCTCCAACAGTGAACTTAGGTGACCTTGAGAGAATGACAGGAGGTACTGAAACATGTCTGCAAGGAGAGGAGAAAATGAACAGAAAAAAAATATGTAAGGAGGAATTATAAACACAAAACATTTCATTTTTAATGAAAAGTATTGACTCACACATTTTTAAGACAGAAGCTGTAAAGATTTACATTGCCTGAATTCCACCACGAGTAATTTCTTGCAAATTAATGAACCTTAACCGAGCAGACGAACGGACTGAACACACATCGTTTAGAACATTAAAATATCAGGTCATAACAAAGTCCTATACTTTATTATGACACTTTATTTCATGTAGGTTTGACGAAGACTTTTATTGATTACTGTGAAAATTGTTCTGAAGTAAATTTAAAAGATTTAACCTTAGTGAGTCCCGACATCGTGTTCTTGGAATGCACCTTAAACCACAGGAATATATATTGCTGAGAGAAAAAAAAAAACATTATTTAATTTAATCAGATCTAATACTGACCTCACTTTTGGACACATGACTTTGCTTAACTATAAAACATGACTAAATGCAGCAAACCTAGGTCATGCATTTTAAGTCATGTTTTTTATTCCAGGCAAAACATTTTCACATTTTTCTCACATTTCATGCTTTACCAACACACTCCATTATTGCATTTTTATGACTCTGCCAGGATAAAATGTAAATTGGTTATTTCACATTGCAGTTCAAAGTGACCTCATATGAATTAGACTGACCACTCAGGCTGTCCCTTCCAAACATCCCATGCTTTTATGTCCCTACAAACTTTCTCCTCTCCCCATGACCCACTGTGTCTTCACTTTATGGCATGTTTCCGCCAACATGCCACTTCCCATCATACATTCTTCCGTGTGCGTATATATACGCATGTAAGTTTGTGTATGCATGTGCTAGATGCAACACTACTCTCTGGGGTGTGATGTAAGCTTGAAAGCATGACAGGACATGAAGGAGCAGCAGCAACTGTACAGAAACTGAGACCTGAGAACTCGGGTGCCAGGACACACACAATATTCAACACTATGACCACACACACCTACATGCACACACCCCGACACGCACGCACGAGTCTTTTTATTTTCTTTAGGACTTTGCATCAACTTGCATTCATTTTTCATACGTTTCTATGGCTTAACCCAGGCACTTAGGTTAGGTTAGGTTAAACCTAACCTTTACCAATATGTGCCTAACCCTAAGTCTAACCTAAACTCAATTCATATCCTAGTCCTAAACCTAACCTAACCTAAAAAACAGCGCCTCTTCTTATGGGACCCGGACTTTGGGCCCAAAAGTAACAATAGGTCGTCACAACGTAGCATTTGTTGGAAAAAACTGTGTCAGAAACAAGGCTAAATACACTCATGCATTTCTAAAATAAGAATATACCTGCACTGACTCTCAATGTTAGACGCAACAGCTTACTTAAAAGAATTACTGATGAGCTCTGGAATTTTTAAGATTGCCGTATGTAACATTCATCCATGACAGAGTCATTCCAGTGTAGTTTCTACTTCAGCTACAAGCTTGTTAGTAAGTGTGTGTGTGTGCGTGCGTGCGCGTGCGTGTGTGTGTTAATGCTTTTGTGTTTTTTGCATGTGCCCTGCCCCTCCCAGGTCACAGACAGAAGGATAACAACAGTCATGTCCTCATGAACAGCTGCACTAATAGGAGTACTGTCTGTGACACTTAGGGACTCCCCAATCGCCAGTGAAAGGCACAGCTTATTTGTAAAGCCCCAGTTTGTAAAGCATCCATGGTGTCCAGAAAACGCCATGGAAGTTTGCACTCAAAACAAACAAACAAACAAAAAAAAACATGAGATGGTAATTGAAAATTGTGAAAGCTAGGGACAGATATAAGGCAAATCCATGTGGAAAGAAAAAGAGCCGTATGGAATACAGGCCACACAGAGATGTTGAATGGGATATAAACACCAGAAATAGAGAAGGTGAGGATTCACAATAAAACAAAAAATACCAAAAAGTAAAAAAAAAAAAAAAAGATATTTTCATCCAACCTTTCTGTCTCTTAATGCTCCCTGGTGTCTTCAGTAGTGTTAAATATGCTACTTACTATGTCTGAATGTCAAGGCTGCAAGGGTGAATGTCTGTTGCTACAACACATCAGAAAATGGTTAAGCAGCACTAAAAACATGTAAGCTCCAGATGCTTGTTTCATTTTGTTTTGGTCCTCAGCTATTCTGTGTTTCAACTGTTTTAACAAAGAGAGTGGCAGAAAAAGAAAAGGAAAAAAAGAAAAAAAAAACAGTCAGAGACAAAGAAAGCCAGGAAAATAGAAGAAAAAAAAAACCATTAAACTTTTTAAACAAGGAATGACAACTACTGTACAAGATGTCTCCACCTTGTGAACATACTGACATCTGGATCCATTTGGCTCTCGGCCTGGAGCACTTCCCCGTCTCTCCATGGATTTTACTTCAAACGTGTACTTCTGAAGGAAGGACATGTTGTTACTTTAAAGATTTAGATTTTCTTCCGCTTAGACACAGGAGAAACAAACAAGACATAGCGGGTTCCGACAACAACTTCTGCTCTCCGCAGGTGAAGAATGAGGCATAAAGTATAACACTGCTGGGTGGCCTTGCTGAAACACCTGTATTTACACCTGTTCAGACACACACAAGCTGACGGTGTCATCAGAGACATCTTTCAGTTCAATGATAATTCTGTAAAATGCTCTGGAAAACTGGATACACCTTATTTTCCAGGTGGGGGGAAGCACAGGCCTGGCCAAACTAGCCAGGCTACTTAAAAGTTTTTCACATTGTCTCTTGGTACGACCAAAACCTTCAATGTATTTTTTTCTTTTTAGGAATTTTATGTGATAGTCCAACACACAAGTAGCATGTAATTGTATACAACTTTCTAAACTCTTTTTAAAGTACTATGTGTGGTGGAAACTAACACTGGCCATTATCCTGGATACGCCATGCTCACTGGCAAAATTATATTGCTGGGATACTTTTCAAGACTGCTAGTCAAAAGTGATGGAGAAATGGATGGAGCTGAGTAGGATACACAGAGTAGAATATAAAGTCATTATACACTTTATTTTACCTTTATTTTTACAGGTTGTCTCATCAAGATCCAAGGTCAGAGAGGCAAGTTTTGAAAAAAGAAAAACAAAAGCACAGCAGCTAACTAAGAAATTTGACTGAATTAAATAAGCTAATAAAATACGAGCTAAAAAGAAGGTTCAAAAGATTTCTCGTTTCGTCTTAAAATAAATCTGAATTGTCCCAAAGAACAATGACTCACCCCCCCGAGTTCCGACCATACTACTGGAATATTCCTTGGTTGGACTGTCAGAGCGAAAGGTATGAGGACAGGTAAGGTGGGAATAATCCAAGAATAGATTTATACATATAATGCATCAATGCTTGAGTCAATGCAGGAGTCAAACTGATAATTATGGCCAGCTCACCTGAGAATATAAATTATGGTGGCGAGTGAAAGATTTGCTTCCTGTAGTGAACCCTAATGCACCACGATAGACAGCATCCAACATATGTAGACATGTGACAGGTGCTTTCATATAAACAACCTCACAGTAATCTAACAGGGGAAGCGAGGTCATTGAAACAAGGTGATTGAAAAAAGTGAGGAACAATGCCAAAAACAAAATAATCTAAAACTATGCTAAACTGTTCAATAAATAGAAAAAAAATATAAAGATTACAGGACACAGATGCTAAAAATACATTCAGCCTTGTGGCAACATAAAAATTGCACAGAAACGTAACAAAAGAATATGTTGTGTTCTTGTGTGGTTTTATTTGATAAAGTATTTTCGTCCTGCCCTCTACCTGACTCACAAGTCTGACTTGTCATTCTGCAAGACAATTGAGAGATCTCCTAAACATTTGTTTTAGATTCGCAGTGCCATTGTATGAAAGTCAGTTGGCTCAGATTGTTCTCCCTGACCACTGTGCCTAAATTTGGAAGTGACCACGTTCAATTTAGACAAGCATTTGTTGGTGGCTATCCTCACATTTTATTGTTTCCCGTCTGTGTTTCTCTCGGGAAATGAAAGGCAGTTCAAATGTGGTGAGGTTGCATGGGGCAATTTTCTTTCATTTAAATGAAAGTCCTAAACACAGAAATTAAAGTCGCATAACTGTAAAGCAGAAAATGTCAGAACAATTAGAGATGCCTGCAGTGGTTGCTCCTATTTGATTGGAATAAACAAGAAAAAGATGCGTAACCCGTTCTGTGTCCCATGGTCCTGCAATAGGCTAAAGTGAGTACAAATTTATGACTATGAAATTAGGTATTACACAATATCTTTCCATCAGTCTAAGGCCAAAATTGTTCACTGAGAACACTTGGTTTATATTACAAAAAACCCAACTTTGGTTGACATTCTGCACAGCATACCCCATGTTTAACTGGCACAATTTAACTTAAGTGTCACCATAGTGAAGCTGCCACAATCAGACTCAAAATAAGCATAGCAGTAAGTCTGTGGTTTCAGTCACAACTATAGTGTTTATTGCCTTTGCTGTGATTGGCTCTGATTTCTCCACAAATATATTATATTCTATGTCTAGTAAAAGAGGCAGTTGTAATAGTAGCAGTTTCTGCTGTTGCAGCAACAGCTACAATTACTACTTGGTGATGTTTAATGCTCTCATGTGAATACTTTTCTGCAAAGAAAACAGCTGACTTGCTGCACTTTTTTTTCAGTTCCAATAGTGAAAGCTCTTGGCACAACACAGACATGCTTATGAGGAATCAGCTTCCTTCATACTTAAAACCAAATGTTTATGTCCACTGTATAGAAAGACACGGAACTATGTTTTTTTCTCATTGTCTGATCAAAAAGAACAATCCTGTTTCAGGCTAGTTAGCACTACCAAAAAACACTATTTGCTTTTTGTCAAGGGTCAAAATATTGACACATTTATGATATTACATGTTTTTCCTTTTCCCCTTTCTCATACTAAAATTACTATGCATTTAAATATTGTGCGATTTGCCAGGATGATGGCATCTTGCCTTCGCAAGGTTG